GTATCACCTCCTCAAATATTCACATGACATTAAAGAACCTCCTGTATATTTGCCAAAAATTATTTCTTACAACATCTCAACAATTTGACGCGAACCATGATAACTCTTATTTTAAATAACTGGTCCATATAAAAATAATAACGATGGAAATTATTACATTTTCAGATTTTGTTGCATTTAGGTACTGCATCTTATTATTAAGAATATGAAATCCACGCCATCGAAGTCACGGGCAACAGCTGTCAATTGTACAAATATTTTTTTTTCTAAATCAAATACAAAAGAACATTTCACTGTTAGAAAATTTAGGGGAACCCAAAAACTGAAATCCTTGCGAAGAAAGTCGCAGGCAACAGCTAGTTCTTAATAAATTTGTAAAAAATGATATTCCTTCTTCATTAATAGGATTATAAAATACCAATAAAACTGAATATACCTTACCTGTTTAAAAAATCTGTTTAAAATTAGTTTTTCCGTTAATCAGCTGTCGCCCCCATACGAACAACAGCTCTCAGAAGTTGAGAAACTTGTGCGAGCTAAGGACTAACAAGGTCCTACCTTTTAACGTGTGATTCCTAACACGGGTGCAGCATCATCCCAGCTTCAACCAGATAAATTCCCTCGAGAAAAATATCTGGTCGAGGCGGGAATCGAACCCACGACCTTCCGATCGTGAGTCGGGCGCACTACCACCGCAGCAAATTCCACAACTACCTATTTATACATTCCATTATAAAAACAGGACAATTAACGGAAAATAAGATGTCACTATTCGAACAACAGACCTCTAATCGTTTCTGAGTTACAGCTTGTACTTTAAAACGCACACTTTGATCAAGTGGGCTTTGGACGATGCGGCGATAAAACAGAATCTTTACTGGTAGCTGTCAAATTTTGATTCAAGCAGTAAAGACGCTCTTCAATTAGTGGTTTTTGTTGAATTTTCAAACACATTTGCAATAAAGTACCTATGAGAATTATTGAAAGTGGGATATGATAGTCTGTTTTATACAATCCGGAGAAAATGCAGAAGCAGCAAGCAACTTGTATCACGAGAGGTATCCAGAGAGAGACGACAACCTTATATAGTGACATTTCCGCAAGATTGCGGCACAACCTAATTGATGGTGATCAATTTGAAAAGAAAAGGCCAAAATTAAATGAATCAAATAGGAATAAGGAGTTGGAAGAAATAGTCGTTTTAGGAGCTGTTGTAAATAATCCCAAAAATCAACAGGCCTACCAAGAAGTAACGTTAGGAGGATTTTGAAAAAACAAATTAAATCCATATAGGACCAGAAGAGTTCCTCAACTCAGACCAGGAGATTTTGAACGCCGCATGGCTTTTTACCAGAGGTTTCTGGAGTAAACAAGTGCGTAATTTTTCGTTAAATTGTATTTGGACAGACGAAACTTATGTCAGCAGTGCCGGCATTTTCAACGGCTACAATTCTTATAATTGGGCACAACAAAATCCTCATTCTATTATGGAGCAGAGAAGTCAATTGACACCAATTTTTTGGCTGCAAATATTGGTAATGATTGGGGAGCCAGCCAAGGCCGTTGGCCGGCCAGGTCACCGGACTTGACACCTATGGACTTTTACCTATGGGGAAGGTTGAAAAATCTTATTTTCAAATTGCTGACCAATTCTAGAAACGAATTGGAAGCGGCAGTGATGCAAAGTTTTGCTTCTCTCACTCCTATTGAACTAATTAATTCGGCAAAAACGTTCAAAAAAGGTATCGTCCCTGTGTAAGAGAAACTGGTAGACATTTCGAACACCTTCTCTGAAAAAATATATTTCATTGTTCGTTTTTTACCATTTATTAGTAGTAAATATAGTATAAATTGTAGTCCATTTTATTGAAACTGTGTGTTTTAATTAATTCTATGAAAAGCTTTCTCAACATTTGATAGCTACTACTGAACAATTTCTTTCTGTTTTATCACCGCGTAGTCCAAAGCCTACTTAATGGAAAAACCTGAAAGCTCTGTATTTCAAAGCCAAACACAAGTATGCTACATTTTTGGAAAAGTAATTTTAAGCTCTATTGAAATATACAGGACTATACAGGGTAACTCAATAAAAAGATAGTTTTCCATCAGTAACTATATTGTTGTCTCATTTGAAAAAATAAGTTTTCCACGCCATTGAATTCTACGTAAAAAAGTGCTTTGGAAATGTTTTCATAGTAACAAAAAATTTTTGCCAGGAAAAAAGTTACAGCAACTTTTCGAAAACACACATTTTCAAAAAACATGCTGTAACTCAGAAACGATGATAGAATCGATATGCGGTTTTCACCATTAAGTTTGTCATAAAATTTGACCATCAGTTTTCATCTATCTAGATTGAAAACATGAGTTTCCCTTTGACGGTTTCAAATTTGGCACACGCTGTACAAAAAATACGTGTAGTATAACCAGTGTTCCTTCCAGTGAAACAAATAAGATTAAATGAAGAGGTAAAATATTTGTTATTATGTACCTTTTCTGGCAGAGAAATGAGTAACAAAAACTGAATAATCTCTTTAGATAAACTATCTTTAGTAACAATTACAACAAATTTTTAAAGACTGCCTCTACATCACAACCATTCTCGCTGACCCTACAGATAATATTTCTACCATAAATTATACTTTTTTGATGCTTGATTTCTGGATTATCTATCTTTAATATGGCATATATTCTAATAATACAAAACAGCTCTCACACACCAGAACTGTAACAATCATCTTAATATGCATTTCATCAAGTTGGAGTTCAGGAACTGATATGTACAATCTAATTTCTCTAAAATAGTTGAAAAATTCCGCGTCGAGAAGATTGTTGCAGTGTTTGTATTGGATTCATTTTTTAGTAGAGGATAGAACAAAAATTATAAAATTAGTGTCATGGATTTACTAGTAAATCATATACATTCCAAGTAGATATATAAAAATAAATTATTTTATAAATATATAAAACTATATTCGTGCAATAAGATTCTGGAAATTGATAACTAAAGATGATAAATAAATTTTAAAAAGTTTCATGGCTGCCAGATGGTCATAGTGGTGCTAATTAAAAAATTCTTGCTAGAAATTTCCAGAATACTTTTTCAGTTAAATAATAGTACAAAAATTTCATAATTCTAAATTATAAACTCACACAATGACTAGTACAAAAAAATCTTGAAATGCTTTGAGCAGTTCTAGTAGGGAAACAATCTTTCACAATTGGTTTAACCGGTTGGAATTCGAGTTTGTATTTAAAATAATACTTACGTAAGGCAGGTAACAGCATTTAAACCAAAAAACTGATGATAATTCCTAAATATAAAGGTAATACGTTTTCATACATTCATTTTGAATATTTCACTATAGGCTAAATTTAGTCACTTTGGAATATGTGATAAGCTGTTTTTTAAAGAACATTTCGAAGATGAACATGAAGGTGGAATAAACAATTCGATAAAAACATTTTTCTAATCTCCAGCTACTGTCATGTTTTGCATTTGAGTTATTTTATCCTTCGTTTCTTTTATAGATTTGACTGTGAGACAGTCGAGATAAACAGGATTAATAAAAATTTGATGACATGACTAAGTGAAAATTATGGAAAATATCAAAGTAATAAATTTTTCCCAAACCGAGTAGCCAACTTTAACAAAGAGTTACAGGATGAGGGATTACCTGTCGGCCACAAGAACAAACCAAACTATACGACTTTAGTAAGCTTAAAAAAATGAAGTTTCAGTCAACGAACTGATGACAAGTATTGCAAGAAAATGATATTGAATTAATGCCAATCCAAGTAGAGATCTGCAAGTATTGAAAGTTTGTCCTTTTTCATATTATGTTTGTAGAAACTGTTCGTGTATTTTTAATAAGAGTTGCCTTTATCACAATACAAAAACAAGGTAGTTTTACGATAGTACAATAAAATAGTGTGAAGAATACATAATGCGAGCTTATTAAAAAAATCAACAGCAGAGCGACAGTGCACGATAGTGAGCTAAAAAATATGTACATTGAAAAGTTAATGAAATGCAAACTAATACTCTAAACCCAACTAGAATATTTACTAACTCAAATGGCCACACAAGTCTCACTTGTATTGATTATTTGGTGACTAATCTACCTAATGATATTTGTGAATGTGTCAACTAACCCAGCCAAATATTGCAGATCATATATGTTCCATTTATTACCTCTACAAAAACAGAAATTACCGATTAATGACAAGGAGGATTCAGAAAGATATACTCTAGTGAAACGATGTATCAGTCCGAGCAATATGAATTACGAAATAGACTTAATAATATTATTTGGTTTCCAATACTTTTTGATTTGACAATCTTTGATGGCTTTTCCTACTTTCTTGAGTCCCTAAGTTGGTATTTCAAGATTTCATGTCCTAAAAACCGTTCTTATGTTAACAATAATAAAGGTAATAAGGCAAAAACACTTAAACTTCCATTGATGTTGTCCAAGAATGAAAATATTTGAAAGATATGTATCATCTCATTACTAATGATCAGGAAGTAGACCCTGTAAACATGGATATATATGAATTAAGGCTGAAAGGATACAAAAAAATTGTCGAATAGAAAAATATTTGCTATTTTTCTACAAAAATAGACAATGTCACGATGGAAGTAGACACATGGAACATAATAAACAATGAGTTAGGACGAAAACAAGATTGTATTGTATTGTATAATTCAGTTGGGGTCAAAGACCTACCTAGCATAACAGAATTAATTGCTGAACACTTTGAGCTCGGAAACTGAGATGTATGCCGCTTTAAAATCAATGAAAGACAAAATAATTGACTGAATTATTTGAAATATCAATAATAGTTATCATAGAAATAATTGAAGTCATAACGATACCACCTATATATTTAATTAATCAGTCTCTTTCGCAAGGGTATTTCCCCATGAATTTAAAAAGGCTTCAGTTATTGGTTTTTTCCAAAAAAGGGGAAAGAAATAAGATAGAAAACTATCGAAAAACTGAAAATGATGCTAAATAACTAGTAGCATCTATCAGTCAAACGTTATCTACAGTGACCCCAATTCTATAACTAGAATTAGGATCCTGCAGACTAATTCTTAAATTACTCTCAAATCTATTTTTGATGGTGGAAAATTCCATTATATCTTTAGGTTTGCAATGAAGCCAAAACCTATCAAATTCATAAAATAAAAAGCTATAGAACTGATGGAAATGACGAATAGATGGTACACTCCCTGAAGTATTATAAACATAAGTTTTTGCACTACCATCTTTCAGTAGGATCCAAGCCAGACTAGTTAAATTTATTCCAACAATGGCAAAGCAATAACCATATACAGGATGATGAGAATGGGACAGAACATGTTGAGCAGGGTTCTGATGCTCACTTGCAAAAAACAGTAAATTTTCAAGACCTAAGAGACCCATACCACGAAAGTCTGTTTTCGGATCTTCACCTTGGAACCCAATGTCTTGCCACTGTTTAGTTATTCGTCCTAAAAAACAATAAAATTTACTATTTTCACTATTTTAAAAAATTATAGCTGAACTTCAAATTACTACATTTCTTCATAAAGAGATTAGTATGAAGTTAGTCATCAGGATGTCTTTATACCAAATTAGTTAGACTCAGTTTTCCAAATAATACAGTGGATTGGTTGCAATCATATGGTCATAGTATGACAATCTAATATGACTCTATTATTTATGTTTAGAGAACATCCTGTGAGATTAGCAATTCCCCAAAGAACAGTCCTGGGACCTTTACTTTTTGTAATATTTCTCAACGATCTTCCAGAACACGTTAAAAACTGCTGTTGATGACATCACAGTAACTGTTGTGGGGCTTACACTAGAACATATTTTAATCAAAGCCGGTGAAATTGCTGATGAATTTACGTTATGGTGCAAACATAATCGCTCAAAGTTGGGTAAATCTAAATCAGTATCTAGGAAATTATATTCCAGTAAAAATTTAATACCTGATGAAATTGATGATAGTGATAGATTTTCATATTAAGTGTCTGCAAGAAACTGTATACATTGTATTTTGCAATTAAACAAACGAAAATGTGTATAGACAAGCAGAGTCCCTTAAGCAAGCATATACTTTGCATTGACATACATATTTCTTTGAATATCCTGTCTTGGGGGTCCAGTAGAGATTTTAACAAAATATTTGTTTCTAAAAACGACTAGTGAGATTTATCTTGAATATGGACTATAGAGATAGCTGCAAGCCAGTTCACATAAGAGAAAAATTGTTTTCTGTTCCATGTATATACATATTTAAGTGTGTAAATTATGTGAGAAACAACCTACTATCTTATGAAACTAGTTATTCTACAAGTCATGGTGGTATGCTACAAGTGCCAAGTCACCAGACTTCGAATTTTGAGAACTAACCCAGTTATAATGCAATCATTTTTCACTAAGCATTAAATGTGGCAAAATGTTCAAAAATAAAACGATTTTTTTTACTGAAAAATGTTATTATAGTCTGCAGGAATATTAAAACGATACCACGAACTGTAAGGTTGTTTCAGAAGTGTTGTCTGTTTTAATGTAATGTGTTTCTGTAGCTGTGTATCTCAATAAATATTTATTCTATTGTATCGTGGTATATACTCATCGAATTTTTGTACTCAGTACATTGATGCTGTAAATTTTTTTTTCAAAAATTTTCAAATTTTTTTGCCTCTTTTCAGCTCATCACTATATGATGTCGTTAAGCGATTTGCAGCCAATTTTTCTCTACGAATTCAAATTGAATATCAAAACAGCCCGCTAAATTAACCAGGCATTTGGCATTGACAGTGTTAATGAACGAACTGTTCGACGTTGGTTTGTGAAATTTCGTTCCAGAGATTTCAACCTTGAAGATGAGCCCCGAAGTGGTCAACCTACATTAATCCAGGACGAGGATATGAGGACCCTAGTGAAGACTGACCCATCACAAATGGTGCGTAGGGTGGCGGAAGGACATGCCGTCCGCTGGGTTTTTGATGGTTTAAAACGTATCGGAGAGGTCGAAAAGTGGGTGTCCCATGATTTGAATGATTGACAGAAATTATCACGTTTCGAAATCTGTTCGTCTTTGCTTCTGCGCAACCAAAACGATCCCCTTTTTTGGTCGGACTGTCACATGTGCTGAAAAGTGGATCATCTAAGACAACAAGAGACCTGTATAGTGGTCAGACTTCGATGAACCAACCAGGCACTTCCCAAAGGCGAAAACCCACCAAAAAAGACCATGCTTCTGTATGATGGTCAGCGGCTAGTGTGATTCAGTATAACTTTTTGCAACCGGGCCAAACCTTCACAGCAGAGTACTATTGTGAGAAAATCGACCAAATGTACCAGAAATTGCGCCACCAGCAGCCGACACTGGCAAAAACGGCCTTCATCGACTTCATTGAATCATGAATACCCAATTGTGTTACGCTGATATAAGTGCGCTGATTCAAATGGCGCTTATTTCTACTATTAATGTATATTTCATTTATATACTGAATTTTTTATTATTATTTTGACATACCATATATACATGCTGTACCAAAATGGTTAATAGAAATTATTATTATTCAAAATTTTGAGACAACTAATGAAGATAAATGTATGGATTGCATCCAATGTCGTCAACCATTATGAATGATGAGGTTCTTATAAAATGCTGAGTGAAAAAGCTGCAGAGATATTCATTCAAGATTCTAATAGCACAGATGAGATGGCAAAAAAAAATCAAGTATAACGCATAACAGACATAACTGTTCCTCTATTCAGAAGGTATTAGCTTCAACAGTATGAACGAAAAAAACCTGTTCTCGAGTTTGGAGTTTAGGCGCTCTCAGATTAGAAGGCCAGAAACTCCAGAGAGAAAAATTAAATCAAGGAGACAGCAAGAATACTAATGGTTCATTTTAATTAGAAAACAGTCTTAATATAGAAAATCTAAGATGTGATACTTTTAATCTGTTTTTTAATATACTCTTTTATTATTTATTATCATTCTTCTTCAATGAAATATCATAATCAATAATTTTAATGGGGTTTTGAATTAAAAGCTTTAAAGAATGGGGGATCCTATTTGAGTCACAAATTGATCAAAAAGAGTGAAACAATGTATTCAATTGCATTTTGTGCTAAGGCCCCGTGAGACAGTGCTGCTACTTTGATTACATTTTGGAACTGAAAATGATGCTAAATAACTAGTAGCATCTATCAGTCAAACGTTATCTACAGTGACCCCAATTCTATAACTAGAATTAGGATCCTGCAGACTAATATAATATAATATATATTTTTAAATACATTTCAATTTATATAACACTTATTTGCTCCATAGATATATAGATAAGATTTTAAGTACTACTTTTATACTACTTTAACATAATTCAAAAAGTTTGTCAACAAGAACATTTTCTTATGACAATAAACGTATTTCTCTCTTTCTCTCAAATTTGCTAACACAGTAGCTTCATCTGTAGTAATAAATAAAACACAATGGACTACAATTCTTATATACAACAGTAAGTTACCACACTCAATAGTAAATGAGATAACAGGTAGAATTTGTAAAACAAATTACAATATCAGTTCTTGGACAGTAGGTAAATTTGAATATGAATAAAATGATTGGCATTATGAATGTTTTATCGATTTCCAGAGACTCTGACAGGTGCAATTTATGTATTTTATTTTCTGTATGGAGTATGACATAAATAATGTTGAAATCGTGACTGTTTTTTATGTTTGGAAATTCACGTTTTAAAATTTCTTGAAATCCCTACCTAAACTTTTAGGCATGATCCGCAGGTTAGTTTGTTAGAAATTTTAAAACGAGAATCTCGAAAATAAAAGAAGTTTTGAACTGAAGAAGACCAATTCCATCTATGCGTGCCACCTCTTGGAGGACAATCATGATTTCAACAATATCTATGCCATACTACATATAGAAAAAAAAGACAGAAATAGAACCTACTGGTGTTTCTGGGAATCAATAAGGGAAAACTGAGATTGTAATTTGTCTTACCAATTCTACCTGTTGTCTCATTTACTATTAACTAATTTAGTGAGGTAACTTACTGTTGTATATAAGAATTGTTGTTCACTGTGTAGTATTTATTACTACCAATGAAGTTACAGTGTTGGTGAAACACGTCTAGAATTAAACAAATGTTTGTGAAAATTGTTTAATCATTATCATGGATAGTCATACCATCATCAATTATTTCAATTTTTACGGGCTTTTGATGAAATTAATATTTATTACACTACTTGTTACAATTGGTGCTCATATGTTGAAAATATTTTGCAATATTTCTTTTAATAATAACAATGTGAATTTAAGAATTCACAATAATATAGCTCTATCCCACCATAGGTTGTCTCTACATCAGAAATTATGGATGAGAATTTGTAGATAACTTCAAACTATTCATAAAGAGCTGCTTCTCTAATAATTCATTCAGTTGACTTCTTAATTCTCCATTATATATATATATGCAATGATTGTATTGACAGAAACATGAATTACAAAAACTTTACCTTCCAGTTTTTCATTAGGCATAAGTTTTTCCCATAATTCATATAACTTATTTTCATGTTCAATGTTATCACCGTCATAAGCAATTGTTCTCAACTCCTCAACCTGAGAAACAAGTTGTCTGTAACCCCATATTTGTTCAACACATTTACCAAAGCTGGAAACAAACTGGTAATGGACTTTGGGGCTTATCTTTTTCACTAATAGAACTGTACTAACAGCTCCTCTTACTATTTCTCTTTGATTTGCCCCAATAAAACGTTTATTATCTGCTATGTCATTCAGATGCTGTACGAGTTGCTTTATTTGATGTGACTTGGACATTGTTAGTGAGTGTTCCACACCTTTTATTCTTGGAGTTCCACTCACTTCTCCATAACATATTCGTTGAAGTTCACACAGTCCAGTAGTTTTTCGAAGAAACCATTTTACTATGGGTCGTAAATAAAAATTGAATAACCACCATAAAGAGAGAGACATTTTCATTTCCACATGCAGCTTGAGGAGAGATGAAGCTAATCATATATTTCAGAGTTTTTATACAAACTAACAATAAGAAATCATTTATAATGTCAATGTTTGGACTGGATTAGATTCAGCTTTTCATCTCGAATTTTACAATACCAAATATTTTCAATAGGTTAGGTTCAGGTAGGTGTCAAACAAAAAATCTAAACTTTCTCTTTCTAGTTCTAGTCTTTTTAGGTGTCAAAGTCATCCGTCATTTGTGTCAAACTCAGGATTCGACAAAACCTNATTGGCATTATGAATGTTTTATCGATTTCCAGAGACTCTGACAGGTGCAATTTATGTATTTTATTTTCTGTATGGAGTATGACATAAATAATGTTGAAATCGTGACTGTTTTTTATGTTTGGAAATTCACGTTTTAAAATTTCTTGAAATCCCTACCTAAACTTTTGGGCATGATCCGCATGTTAGTTTGTTAGAAATTTTAAAACGAGAATCTCGAACATAAAAGAAGTTTTGAACTGAAGAAGACCAATTCCATCTATGCGTGCCACCTCTTGGAGGACAATCATGATTTCAACAATATCTATGCCATACTACATATAGAAAAAAAGACAGAAATAGAACCTGCTGGTGTCTCTGGGAATCAATAAGGGAAAACTGAGATTGTAATTTGTCTTACCAATTCTACCTGTTGTCTCATTTACTATTAACTAATTAAGTGAGGTAACTTACTGTTGTATATAAGAATTGTTGTTCACTGTGTAGTATTTATTACTACCAATGAAGTTACAGTGTTGGTGAAACACGTCTAGAATTAAACAAATGTTTGTGAAAATTGTTTAATCATTATCATGGATAGTCATACCATCATCAATTATTTCAATTTTTACGGGCTTTTGATGAAATTAATATTTATTACACTACTTGTTACAATTGGTGCTCATATGTTGAAAATATTTTGCAATATTTCTAAATTTTAATAATAACAATGTGAATTTAAGAATTCACAATAATATAGCTCTATCCCACCATAGGTTGTCTCTACATCAGAAATTATGGATGAGAATTTGTAGATAACTTCAAACTATTCATAAAGAGCTGCTTCTCTAATAATTCTCCATTATATATATATATGCAATGATTGTATTGACAGAAACACGAATTACAAAAACTTTACCTTCCAGTTTTTCATTAGGCATAAGTTTTTCCCATAATTCATATAACTTATTTTCATGTTCAATGTTATCACCGTCATAAGCAATTGTTCTCAACTCCTCAACCTGAGAAACAAGTTGTCTGTAACCCCATATTTGTTCAACACATTTACCAAAGCTGGAAACAAACTGGTAATGGACTTTGGGGCTTATCTTTTTCACTAATAGAACTGTACTAACAGCTCCTCTTACTATTTCTCTTTGATTTGCCCCAATAAAACGTTTATTATCTGCTATGTCATTCAGATGCTGTACGAGTTGCTTTATTTGATGTGACTTGGACATTGTTAGTGAGTGTTCCACACCTTTTATTCTTGGAGTTCCACTCACTTCTCCATAACATATTCGTTGAAGTTCACACAGTCCAGTAGTTTTTCGAAGAAACCATTTTACTATGGGTCGTAAATAAAAATTGAATAACCACCATAAAGAGAGAGACATTTTCATTTCCACATGCAGCTTGAGGAGAGATGAAGCTAATCATATATTTCAGAGTTTTTATACAAACTAACAATAAGAAATCATTTATAATGTCAATGTTTGGACTGGATTAGATTCAGCTTTTCATCTCGAATTTTACAATACCAAATATTTTCAATAGGTTAGGTTCAGGTAGGTGTCAAACAAAAAATCTAAACTTTCTCTTTCTAGTTCTAGTCTTTTTAGGTGTCAAAGTCATCCGTCATTTGTGTCAAACTCAGGATTCGACAAAACCTGAAACCCATATCATACCCATGTGTTTTACAGACACAGGCCATGGACCTATCTGTAATATTTTGTAGCATTCTTGACTATTCTATCACATTATTAATATAGTTGTTTCGTGGTTCTTGGGTTTTGGATTCTCTTGGAAAATGGAAAGTTTTCTCTTATTTATGTACCAAGACGTTTCGCCCCTGGTTAAGGGCTTTTTCAATTGTTTATTTAAAAATTTTGTTGTAACACATTGGATATTTGAGTGGTTTCCTGAAATAGAATACAATTTTTATTTCTATTGCCTTTCCTTTAAATTGGTACATTTGTTGAACATTTATATTCTTTTGTTTTGTAGGTACCTTGCTTAAAATTTTTAATAACTGTTCAAAATGTAGATAATATTTATGTGCTGTTGTTCTTCATATTTGATAGTGACTTCGCCAGGGGCGAAATGTCTTGATACATAAATAAAAGAAAACTTTCCATTTTCCAAGAGAATCCAAAACCCAAGAACCACGAAACAACTATACCAAACAGGTTTCAAGAACCTACTCAAACCACATATTATTAATATATTTTCAGTTGAATCTGTATTGTTTCAAGTCTCAATAGTACGATCTGTTATTAGTGTTGAATATATCATTTTATTATTTTAGGTTTGAATATAGTTTAGGATATATGTATATGGTTTTGTTTATTGATGTACCCTACATTATCATTGTAACAAGGTTCAGTAAAAAAATCAAAAAGTATTGCATTGAAAATTTTATTTGTTAATTTTATGTCTACATACCGAGTTTTATTTGATAACTGAGAATCCTCAATCAGCATTCATAATATACTTACTAAACTCTGAATGCAGATGAATATTCTGAATAAAAATAAATATTAAGGTTTATAGAAACGAAATACTTGCCCACATGAAGGACTTTTGAATATGATGGTATATGAGTGAAATAATGCCAAGCCTGGAAAACTTCGCAACGAACGTATGGTATCTAGGGGAAGATATTTCCAATGACAAAACAATTGAAAATCTAATTTTGTTCAACCAGAAATCCTCTTCAAATATATAAGTGACCATTTTCTTTCAAAATTGTGTCGTAGAAACCATTTTAAACTCAATTCAATATGGCAGTAGAATAACGCCAAAAAATTCAATATGGCGGTACTACGACAAAAGACAATGTCTTAAATGAAATTAACAATTATTTTCTCCACGAATTCACGTACCTATCGTTAATTTCGTTTGAAAACCATTTTTAACTTCGTTTGTCTCGAAAATCTTGATAGAAAGCAGCCGGATTTTCCAACTTCAACATTGAAGTGTACCTCGTATATATTTTCTGTGCCAGTGAAAAAGTAATAATTTCAAAAGTTCCTGCTCCATCTCATTATTAAGTATATAGTCAGTGTCAAGAATAAAGAAGGCAATATCCCAATCGAAATTATTGAATTTTTATTTGCAAACTTGGCAAACATCGTATTTTACTATATCAAGTTGTTTTGAAAATATTTTCATAGTTGACTGCATAGTGAATTGGGAGAAAATGGCTCCTACGGCACCATTTTTAAAGAGATAACGGTAACTTGTGTTTTATAATTGAAAAGAGAATTATATATTTTATCGAATGATCCAAAAATATATACAGGATTCTATTTAAAATTCTTGACTTGGATTCATTTCCTGATAAACCGGAAAAGGTTTTCAATTGTTTTTCATTAGCAATATTATCTCTAATGAACTATACCTTCGTCTGGAATTTCAAATTTATTTTCCCAGAAACAACTGAATGGCGTTGTTGTTTAATGTTTTCGTTGTTACTCTGTATAAGCTTAGCACTAGTACGCTTCATGGGAAAAAATTTGTAACTAATGATACTGAAGTGATCATAATAGGTTTTCAATTGTATGTATTAAAAAAAGATAAATGGAAAGCAGATATTTAAGGAAACCTGTTTCAGTGATTTGAAAATGACTAAATAAAAAAAATTGGGTATATGAGAATCAAAATGTATAATACTGTGGCAGATTTATTCACTTGAAATAATATCTGCTCAATGTAATAATGATACATTGAATTGGACAAATCAGGTAGACAACCTTTGCACTAAACTTTTTTCGATCATCTATGCTACTAAAGTAGGTATTGAAGAAAACTGTTGACTTTTACTTTTTAATGACAGTATAATATGTGAACTTATTCTTTTTTCTTCTGCATTTTGGAATGATTATTTAGAGCAGTGGTCATGAACAAAAAAAAACAATTTTTAGGTCAAAAAAGTTATTAGAATTATTTTCCATATGAGCAGAAAGACTTCCCACAGGGAAGTTTTTAAGTTACATAATATATTGACTATACCAGCAATCTATATCTTTGAAAAATTGAAAAAGCAACTACTTTTGACTGTTCTAGGACCGTCTCGATAGCTAATCAGAAAAATAAATATATCTAACAAAATATATTAGAAATGCATATATTTATTCCTGTACCCTACATATTGTTTTCAAATACAAATATGGTAACAAAAAATAAATTACTTCACATTTCATTAGCAAAATACTTACAATTACTGCACTTCTTTTCAATAAAACTTCTAAAATAAAATTTTCATTTATTAGTTAAAAAATTCTTATAAAAAATAAGATTACTGGAATGATTCAAAGTTGATGCAATGTAAATATCGAATTTGGAAAGAAGCAGAATTTAGCAACCTATATTATTCTATTATTCCAAATCCACCCTAAACTGACCATTATATATTCTTAAGGTCAATTTATGAAACAGTTCTTGACAGTTACACATTTTGTGTAATATGGCAAAAGTTAGATTATCTGAAATATTTAGTAGGAAAGTGTATGCATGTGTCATAATTGGCCAACTTTTATTGGAACTTACAAAATTTGGAAAATGCCTGATTAAATTTGGCAATCATTTTTATAATTCTTGGGTAGGTTCAAGTGGTTGAATCTATTCGACCCTTTACTGAAACCCGCCAGGGTTAATTATGTGACAGTTACTATGACTCACAGTATTCCCACACACGTATTCTAGCTTCTGAACAAAATCGCTTTCTTTATTTGGTGAGTGATTTTTCAGTTCAGCTGACAAGAGTGGGATTCTACCAAAGGCTGAAAACTTGACAGGCACAGAGTGTGTGCTCTGCTTCCAGAACCTGACTTTTTTGTGTCTGATCAGTCAAACTTCCTTAGTCAGGTAGGTAACCTATACAAAAGTATGCTTCAGAATTAGGTCTTCTGTGACATATTTTAAGGAGATGCCCTTCCATGACTAAAGGGTACTTACTACACTTACTATTGTTACATAAATTTACAAAATTATTCAGAAATACATCAGAAAAATTTCGGCTTTCAAGTTTCATCATGTAGACGTATTATTGAATTAGAATATTATTCCCTAATCATATCTATAGTTATATTCTAGTATCTAACAATTCCAGAAAAATGTTGACATTTCAAGAGAAGGTAATTTACTTAATTTCACTCTGGGTCAGATAATTCAGTTCTGCATAAAGAATCCCAGGAATGATGTTAGAAGAGGTGTGATGGACTAAAAATATTCAAATTTTTTCAAGACCTTGGGATGAGGTTCTATTTGATGAAAAATGAATTTGAATAATATTTTCAAACTTTGGAAAACAAGTCGGACTTGACTAAAACCATTTTCTTCTCAGGTAACATACAGTTCTACATAAAGAATCCCAGGAATGATGTTAGAGAGGTGTGATGGACTGAAAATATTCAAATTCTTTCAAGACCGTGGGATGAGGTTCTATTTGATGAAAAATGAATTTGAATAATATTTTCAGACTTTGAAAAACAAGTCTCAGGTAACATACCCTTTTTGTTCATGAGGCATTAAAATGTTATTCCAGCATTTTCTCCTACTTTTGGAGAGAGTCTGGAATAAAAAGTTCTAAATACTTTATCAAAAAAAATCTTGGTGGTCAGCCACTTACATTCGAAGAATACAGTTTTGATACAAATTGAGGGTACCTTGAATTCCCGATCACCATATATCTGTTATCTTCAGATCGACAAGACCACTCTTACATCATCCCATTTGTCTGCTCTTCCTGAAGTGATTCTATTGGATATTAGCAAGAATTGCAATCAATGGACATGAAATTTCTGATTTAACCGCTCCATTGTGAAGAAATGTCCAATAATGCCAAAGCGATATGAAACAACACCCCATACATTCCCTTTTTGGTAATAGGTATTGTCTTTTACAATTTTGCTCTTCTATACATTTCTGAGCGATGGCCCTTATTTCCTTCTATATTATGAACAAATTTTGGTTTGAATTCTTCATGATTTTGATTTACTAACATTAAGATTAAGTAAACATTCACCCAATGATAGTCTCGGGTTGTTCTTACACCTAAGCAAGAGCAACAATAGTTGTGGCATCATTTTCATGTTGCAAGAAATTTTTCAACTATTCACATGACAGTTATGAGATGTTGGGAAATCTCTTGTTGAACTGCTGCACTACTACCCTTAATGTAATCATTTGTCTTAAGTCAATAACACTGATCAACAGAAATTATCTGCTGTAACATTAACATGATCTTTTATTCATTGTAGTTTGAACTGAGAAATAATACACCGATTTTGTTTTCAGATAATGCTGGCAAGTACTTTAAAAAAATTGAGTGTTCGTAGATCAAATATATTATTATGTTCTATAACTCAATTTGTGAGTCGATGTTATTTTGCTTAATGTAAAAAAATGATGATTTTATCAAGGTAGTGAAATAGTAGAATCAAGAAGTTAATTTTCAGAAATTTTGCATAGTCATAGTTTCTCATCCTGAACAACTCATTTCGGTAACATTTTAACATATCAGAAACACATTCCTAGAAAGAAAATGGTTTTCGCTTAGCCTACAAGGCTTATTTGTTTTTCAAAACCTGGAAATATTTTTTAAACTTTTTTCTCACCAAGCAGAACTTAATTCTACCCTTTTCTTCCTGATTAATTCGGCCGTCACTTGATGAAGATCCATAGTAATTTCATAAACTACAACTTATGATTTGGAGTACGTAACTCACTACAAAAAAGCGAAACATGTGATATTTTTTAAATAAATGATATTACCTAATTCTACAAACTGAAAATTCAAAAATTTTAATACTATCTCTTGTAATATCAATACTGGGACACATTGTATATTAATATAATTTAATAGATGAGATATATGATGGAATTGTCCGATAGTTGATGATTAGGTAACCCTTTCTCATTAATTTGAAAGACAATTGGATATATTCAGATTGACTTTAAAAACTTTCCTGATTGTTATCCAAAATAATAATGACAATAATATACAAAATGTGGTAAATCCTAAGACAATTTTCATCAAATATTAGAATTCATCATGATCAATTTTCAAGTATTCTTTGAATTTTGGATGATTTTTCACATGAGTTGCCGCTTTTTCTACAAGGTTCAAAAACTCTTCCTCATCAAAAGAATAGTTTGCAAACTTCGCATGGGCTCCTCCATCATAACTGCCCTGCAATAAGAAAAATAATAAATTTCATAATTCAACATTAGTGATTAACAATTTGTTTTAATGCTTGGGAGCCTACTGACTTGTCCATTTATTCCAAGTCTCCAGGAAATGCAACCCTCATGAGCCTTTTGCGTTTTTCTCTCACCCTTTTACATCACCCGTTTTGTAAAAAAATTTCAATGGTGTGTCTCACCAGAAAAACATAGCGGAATATTCAATTTTTTAAAATTCATAACTGAATGACTTAAGAAAGTTTTTGGCTTTCTACTACACCCTCTTGACACAAAAAACAAGGATGAGGGAATCGTCCAAGGAAAGGAAGGAAGTAATCAATTTTAAAATAAGTAACTCTATACATGATGTGTAGATCATGCAGAGAAGTAACTTTCAGACACAAACTGAAAGACACTTGTCTAAAGGCTCTTCAGTACCAAATTGGATAACATTATTGAAAATACACACAGTTCATTCATTAATTACGATTTTTAATGTCACGGAATAAGCTTGATCTGCTTATGTCATCGATGACATCGTAATGTCATTCATTCATCTATTTGATTATTTTTTGTATCAAGATGGAGTAGTAGAAAGCCAAAAACTTTCTTTCCCAAAAATTATCACTCCTAAAAATATAAACCCTTCAATTCAAATAAATGACTTACATCTTCAAACGATGTGAGTTTTTCAGAGTTCTCCCAAGTTATATATTTGACACCTTTGAGGCGAGCTAAATCATAATAACAGTTTTTATCTTCACAATTGTACCTGAAAATCATAAATATGGAAATTGGACTGCAGTTGTTCTCTTATATCAAATACTTACACTTCAAAAACAGCTGCCCATTCTGGTAAAAACAAGAGATGGGTTAATCCAGCACCATGTATTCCTACTAGAATATCTGAATTCCTAGAAATCTCTAATTGCTTCTTGAATGGAATATTTTGATCATAAACCACTTTTTTCACATTATATTCGGGATTTCTACCAAGAGTTTTGATTAATTCGTCTTCGTTAAGTATTCGTCGGTACTTGGTATTTCTTGAAAGAAACGTAATTCGAATTTTTTTATCATTTCGTGGGTGTTCTGGTATCCTCAATCTATGTAAAATATGTTTAGAGAAGGCATCAAATAATCCACTTTTCTCACAACCATATATTATTGGAGTGTTATAATACAATCCAAATATCATTCTGGGTAATAAAGGAAAAACCACGTTTTTGAAACACACTGTATCACCGCGGAAAGTCTTGAGATCCCACAGAGGGTGGTCAGTGAAGGCTTTCCAGACATCTTGGAATGCTGAACGATAGGTGAATGTTTCCCAAATCAACACATGGACATCAGTAGATAAGTAGTCTTCTTGTGTAGCATTGAGATGTAAGGAGGCATATAAGTTCACGAAGTCACAAAAGTGATGATACATGTTGACTGCTGAAAATAAATTGGATGTTTAGATAATTCAAGATTGGAAATAATCAATCTACATATTAGAGGAACAAAATAGCACTGACTTTTAAACTAAGGACCACTCTTCCAGTTCCTAAAGAATTTGTTCAGTTACGTTATGTTCAAAACATTTTACCATAATACCTGACATTCAACTTTTCCCAAATCAATTCATACATTTGTATTTGCTTTCCGATGTGCAAAGTGAGTAACAAAAATGATTTTTGGAACAAAAATGTTAATGACTGGTGAGGTGGATGAAATTATGTTTTCTCGGAGGCCCACATCTCTGAAGACAGACCTGAAGTGTTTGGGTTTGTTTTTAACTGAAAGAAGATCTGCTTTTCAAGATGATGGACTGCCAGGGAGATCACCACATATTCAACATATAGGTACATGGAATGTTGAACATCGCTATTTTATGAATCTCCACATTTCACAATTCAAAATTTGTTTTTGTCAAAGAATATTCGGACAATTCGCTAAGGATGTTGAAGCCACAAAAAAAAATTCATCCTTGTCTAACCGTAAAAGTAGGAAGTGAACATCCAATAAGATAAGGATTTACGGGAGGTGCCCAATATCTGGACCAATCTGTACCAACATTTCAAAATAAAAATTGGGAATAATTAAGAATCAGGAGGCTAAACCAAGAAATTACAAAACAAATACTTAAATTCTAAGTACGCAGGTTCAAAACATTATCAAGGTTAACAAAGAGGTGATCACATTCCCGATTTTCAGCTCATAACTTTTACAAAACTAGGTTAATTTTCAATTGTAATACACTAGTATATGTGATGTAATCTCCATCAAAATGAAGTAACACAACAATTATTATAGATTTTTATATTCTCATGATTTGGTGCTGAAGTCACAATAATTTTCAGACACTTTTTTATATTACTTTCAAATTTTGACATAATAGGAGATGACATTTCAAATGAGCATTGTCTATGCTGCCTCTCAGTTTGATGAAATTTATGTCTCAAAGTAGGTGCAGATTGGTTTTTGAATAATACAAGTGAATATAGTGGTGGCGGTTGCCAAGAGATTCTTTCGGCCCTTCCTATCCATATTCTTTGAGATATTTGTCAGAAATTGCTGTACTCAAATGTTAAATTTTCCTCTTGAAGATGATCACATGATGATCGAAACACGTGTCAAGGTGTTAAAATAACGGTTTGGTGTTGGGAAAAAACTCCAGTAACATTCATATAGAGTCAGACCAATTTCTGACAATCAGATCAAAGGTAAGAGTTTTTCAGTTCTCCAACTCTTGATCATGTTAACAAACCTAGGATAGGTGACTTATAGGCTCCTCAAGAGCAGAATTTCTGGTGAATCTGCCTTGCACCAAATTCTCGAGCAGCAGAAGCAGAGTCTGCATCAGAAGAGGAAACAAATTCCTCCTGAATAGGAGAGCAAACATTTACACTCAAAAGATAAGTAACAGAAAAAGCCCTGTCGTAAAATATAATTATTGATAACACTTTCATTTTCATATTAGGGATGAGAGCACATCTTAAAAAAACTTATTTAGAATTTTTAAATAAACAAGACATTATTTCGAAAAGTAACTAAGAGGGATATTTTCGTAGACAGTGTGGCTCAACTTACAAGCATATCAACTATTCCAACCTACCAAAGAACCAAATGAAATAAACTTAAGTTGTTAAATAAATTTCATGAAAACCATTAAGAATATCCTTGGAGTTTTCTAATTTCTATAAAAATCATAAAAAAACACTTCTTGACAGTAAGATATCGGACCCTATGTTATATGAACATTGTCATTAGAAATGACCTCCTCTAACATCACCTTCAGCTTTGACCATAACTTATGAGATTCCCTGTATACTTCAAATAAAATTTGTTAAAGGCTTGGGGAACGTGGTTCGGTGATCTATCATCTGCACAGCAGCAAAAATTAGTTGTTTGGGTAAGAGTTAATTGCTTTTTTAGTAACATATTGAAAACAGAGTAAATGGTTAATGTGTTACTGTCTTTTCTTCCAGTTGAAAAAAATGTAAGAGAACTTATCATGCATACTGAAAACATACTTGCATCTATCTTCATAATGAATGTGGGTTTCTCTATAACTATATCACAATCATTTTCAACAATAGGCCGGCGAATAAGCTTGCTAAAATACCTCATCTCAGGTCCCCAGCTTTGTAAAGGGCTTATATGGTCAGCCTGTTCATCTAACTTTTCTTTATAAAAAGTACAATAGCCTCCTATATCTCCTTCGCTAAAAACATCCATTTTATAGCGAATCGGTTCTGGTCTATCAGCAAGTTTTGTAAAATTCATCATAATATTTCGTCCTCGGCAAAACCTCATATGTTCAGAGCATTCCAGCGAACTATCATGTGGAAATAATGGTTCGCAAAAAACCTTCATTTCATTCAGTTGCTGCTTAACATATCCAAAGTCAGCTTGAGCATGAAAGGCAGCTTTCTGTGCAAATTTAGATTTAACCCATCCCTTATGATCTCCTGGACAATGAGGAATTGAATATTGTTCATTCCACTCACAATTAGATTCATAACCCCAACATTTATTACTATTTAAATACTGCTTGAAGGGGCAGTTCACATCTTCTGAACATTTTTCCTTGGCTTTTGGGGAATTTCTGAAATAATATGGTACATGTTCTTCTGGTAAATTAATGAAAGAGTAGTTGTCACAAATCCCTTGAATAAAAAATACAGTTAAAATTATGAATGTGTATCCATTGAACTTGGTGATTCCGTAATAGTACAGCATCTCCTAAAATAGTGATAATAAGGAGAATCAATATATAATATACCACTTCAAATCAGCTTTATAATAAAGCGCGTGGTTTACTTAGTTAAAATTAAATTTCAAATGAATTGATTCATAACAATGATAAATGTCAATTTCAAAAGTAATGAACTTTGCTTCATAAAATCAGATGAAGAAATTTGTGATTTATTCTTAGATTTGATGAACAAGCGGTACGGTTTGATATTATTATGTAATTTCATTCAAAATTGGTATCTAGGGGTCTTTGTGGACCGACATTATGTTTTTTTTCAATCATTAATGTAAATAACTGTATTCAAACATGAAAAATATGTTTTTCATATGTGTATTTCTGATCAATGTTCAGTTTGTATAATAAATAATTATTCTTTTGCAACCGGTGTCAAATCTGTTATCAACCAACTTACGTCACATAAAGAATATGATTCCGTTTTGGTTTTTATTTCTTTGCACGAGGCTCTCGAGTTGCATATAGACAATATTCAATAAAAAATGACGTTTGTCATTCTTCCAACTTTTTTTTGGTTGGGATATGTCAAATAATCAAATAATTTAAACCTAGTTTCAAAAACTTTATTTATAAGAATGAGATCAAAAAAATGATCATTAAAAACATCAAAAATATCCCCTTTCATAATGTCGGTCCACAAAGACCCCTATATACTAATTTTGAATGAAATCACATAATAACATGAAACTTCAATCGCAATTATAAATATTCATGATTTCTAATCGAAAATTCTTTATATTGGACCTCACAAACCGTACCGCTTGTTTATCATATATGAGAATGAATCACAAATTTCTTCATATGATTTTATGAAGCAAAGTTCATTACTTTTGAAATTAACATTTATCATTGTTATGAATTAGCTCATTTTAAATAATTTAATTTTAACCCAGTAAACCACACGCTTAATTATAAAGCCATACATACATAAAAATCTAGTAGGTGGTAGAAGAACTGGTCTCATTTTCATAATCAATAATAATAAATCAGATTTCCTGTAGGAACTAACAGAATACATTTTCACCTGAAATGATTTATTTTATAAATATATAATATTCCTCCGATTATAAACTAAATCAACCGCCACTGTTTTATGGTCCAACTTACTTCCCGTAAACAAACAAAGTTATGCTGCCTTCAATGTAAGGATGGAAGGCCACTCTATTGTCTTTTGTTACTCTGAGGTATGCATCTGCCGTAGACACATCGTAACATTCTGTTTCTTGACGGCTCTGTGCTCTGTGACTGACTGAAATTCTGTGCAGATTTTGCTTGTATTGATCGCGGGTTTTTCGCGTCTCAAAATATGTCAGCAATGAAATCTTTTTCCATTTTGGTTTACTTTTCACTGATGTTCAGTGTGAATGGTAGGGAATGTATAGACCCAAAAATCATTTCAACATCTTATTACACAAGAGATGCTACAATTTTGAAACATGTGGCATATATTTCAAATTTTCATGTGAAATGTAGAATTGGTGAAAGTGGAAATTTGTACGCCTTATTTGGGGGGGAAATATCACCAGTAGCTTCGGTGGGTCCCGGAAACTACCAAATAAGTTGGACAACAGATGTTAAAACTGCTCTAACAAATGATGTTATCATAAATGTGTACAATGAAAGTGGATATACTGCTATGCGAAAGGCCAAGAGAGCTGGAGAAGATATTTCTTTTGTTCCTGTTTTTACCAGAGTCACTGTCAACAATAGAGGTTTATATGTTGGACCATGGATTTCATGTGAACTTTTAGCTGCTGTATTTTCTATAGTCATTGCATATATTGCTATTCATTTTAGAACGAAACTTTTAAGTTGAAAACAATCAAATTCTAATGTAATAATTATTGAGACTGACTTTTGTGTGATTCATATCTTACATCCATTATAAAACACTAAATAAAGAGTTTTAACATAAAGGTAGAATTATTGGTTGTGAATATAATAAGTTCGACCTTACTTTATAGATGAAAAAACTATCTGAAATCTGATTGATTTTATTTCAAACAAAATAGTTCAGGTTCCCGCTGTGAAATCATTATGTTCATAGCATAGTTACTCAAACCCAAATTTTTCAATACATTTATGAATAGGAGAATACATTTATGACAAGGTGCCAGTCAAAAAGTGGTCGCAAATATTTTTAATAAAAAAAGTTGTGAGCCGTCCGTCACAGGATTCCTGACAGATGTGAAACATAGAAATTATTTCGTACGAGTAATATGCATAAGAGAACAGATTTCGACATGAACTAATATGGCATAATGTAAAAATGAAATATTACGATTTTTTTCCAGAAAATGATGATCAAATCAATTACAAAAATTAACAAAAATTATTTCAAATTGTGACTACTCTCAATTTTTTTAATCAGTGACTTCGGTAATAATTATATTCGGATGTTGCCTCTGATGGTATTACTGTGACAATTTGTCCATGATAATTGAAGTGTATATTACAAAAGTATTATAACATTATCAATGCACAGATAAATCACATTTCAATTATAAAATATAGGTAATTAACTTACTGATGATGACGTGACAGTGTGTCATAGTGTGATTCTGCTTTTTTTGCAGGAGGCTGCTCACTTTGATTTTCTAAATTATCAAGGTCAGACATATTTTATATTTAGTTATTTTTAAAAATTATTCTTTAAGTAAAACACGGGTTATGTGTACTTTTGTATATAGAAGTCTATACTGTAGTAAACAAAACTGTATACACTATAGGTATTCGAGCTCAGCGTAATGAGGGATAGTTGAACCATTAGGAAGAGAATCGCACAGTCGCTTGCACATAGCAATGCGTCGTCACGTCAGAAATCGGATATACGTACGGCTATAGATGTTTCATATAAACAATGTGAATTCATTCATTCAGAGTAATAATATATGTAAATATTTAGAAAAGCCATGGGTGACATTCCCCAATCGGTTGCAACTACTTCGCAGCCAGGTATGAACAGGTGATATTTTTTTTAATGTTCATGACGTACCTGCATGTTTTTACATCAAATTGAAGCTAATTTTTATCTTTATACGATGATATACCGCTGCCTGTGAAAAAATAGCGGCAAATTATAGTTGCTAGCAATTAAAAATTCAAGTCAGCTGAATGATTTTATTGTTTATTTGGAAAGGCCTCACTACCTGATGAATTCTTTCCGCCCAGACCATTTAGGTAATATTTCAGAAGTTACCAGATGGCATTTGGTCGTTACAAAAAAGATTAATAATTGAAATCCACCAAATTTTAGTTTTACTACACAACAAACACTTTTTCATTTTTCTAAAATGAGAAAGTAAAGTCGAATACATGAATAATAATATCAACAACGTTGTATATAACGAGATCCAAAACGTAGTTAAAACTCAGCTGCATTGTTGAGAACCCTATGTATCGACGCATGCGTAACGGCTCTAAAAACTCGCACGGCTGGCACTCGCCGTCCTCGTCTAACGAATGGCGTAGTGTTTGTTGTGCGCCAACTCTCTTTCACTTCAACTTTATATCTAGCGTTTTTAATTGCTAGCAACCCTAATTTGAGGCTATTCTTTCACAGGCAGTAGTATATCATCGTATTAGGAAAAAAATTACTTTAATTTGGTGTAAAAAACATGCATGTACGATACAATTGGAATATTTAAGTACAATCCGTGAAATGGATACTTTTGATATCTATCAAATTTCCACGAGCTGATCGAATTCACAAAAGAAAAAAATCAGTTTCAATTACGACACGAAATTATTTCTCGAAGAGATTGTCTTTCGGGCCAAATAAAAGATACATTAAAACTTTCCATTCTTTTTCAGGCGGTCCACTCTACAAAATAAGAATGATCGAGCCCAAGTGATATTTTCAAAGACCAGCAGACCGACAGACAATACATATATCGCCAATTTCGTTCATCCAACATCAAATCACCCTCATCCAGTAAGGTAGAATATCACAGTAAGAGTACTATGGGGGATGTCGTACTATTTACAATTTGGATTACAGTAAATACAATGTATATTTGATGCAAATTGAGATTAATATTTTGATTACATTCTTAATATTGTAAGATACATAATTCAAGTGGAGATTTTTCACGTTACAAGTATTTGGCAAATCATATTAGTTAAACTTGAAAAGGTATACTCTTACTTCTAGCAAATTGAATTCGAATTCAAACTAGTCTATGGTTGAGATTATTATTCTCACAGCAATTACAAAATCTGTCTGTATACTCGCGCGCGCGCGTATGCGTGTGTGTGCGCACGCTTTTGTTTCCTGAATACTGGGCAACAATATGGGTTGAATCTGTTTGTTGATACTGCTTTAGAATTGAACCTAACCAAGCCAATAAAAACGTTGGGTGTAGTTTTTGATGACAAACTTCAATGGAGGACACATATATTGACCACTTATGTAATAAACTTAGAAAAGCCTGTTATTCTCTTAGGTTTCTATCCCACCATTGTGGTCAAAGTATTTTATTAACTGTCTATTACGAAAACTTCAATTCGCATCTTAGATATGGCATCCTTAACTGGGGCACATCATCTACCGTGACTCGTGTGTTTTGTATACAAAAGTATGCTATTAGGATCATTGCTAAGTTGGGCTATAGAGATTCTTGTAGAGAAACTTTTCAGAATTTGAAAATATTAACGCTAGCAGGAGTATACATAATCATAATCATTCTACTCGGAATGCCCACTTATTATTACCTAGTTAACATCGNTCGTTTAACGTTTACGGTCAATTCTTAAAGTGTTTAAGATATGTTTCTCGGTATTTGTGGAACCTCTGAACCTTCACCTCGTTCACTAAATATTCCTTGATAAATTGCCACTACTACTGTCCTGTACCTTCATCAGATAAACGAGTATGTTATCATATTCAGAAACAAAAAAAATCCAAGTTCGTTTAACCACAGATTAAAATAATCTGTGGTTTAACTCACTGTTGATTCACCTCAAGTCTATATCGTTTCTGCTGAATGGACTGCTTTGCTTTATGGCTTTCTTTTTCTCCGTTATGTCAACAAATTTATTGATTACAATTGTATTAACGTTTCACTCTCTAACTACTCTAACGATCTCTTGATTATTGGCATCTTTCTACAATATCAGCTCTTCACAAAAGATCATCTCTCTAAAGCAGGACTGGCCTGAGGAAATTGCTTTTCATATTTGATTCCTTTTCATCAATTTAACTGATGGTTTTGAAAAACCATTGCCGACTTACGGAGTCACTTTTGTGTGAGGTGACTGAGGAAGCGAGAGCGTATTTGTCTTATTTCTTGTCAACCTAGCCGATCCAAAATTCAAGCAAACGAACTTCCTCCAAACATTTCCTGACCTTTGAAAACCAAGTTCTATTATTTTGCTCTAATACAAGTGCCCCCTGCACGACGAAACGACTGTTAATACCCTTAGGGAAAGTAGGCATAAAGATCTAGAGAGAATATGGCAACTCTGTGAATAAGGTATCGTATATAGTAAAACCAATAATGATTGAGAGTAAAGCGTGTTGTCATATCTAAATTTTACGTTAACAGTTTATAGCAGAATCAAAATATAGTAAGCAGTAGAGTTGTAGGTTGTGGCAAATTATAGATAATACACAATACTAGTACGATTAAAAGGTATTATTTATGACAAGAATCAGTAATGAGCTTGTAATGAGTAATACTTATACATTTCCTGATTACTGATCAGATAAAATTCATTATTTTCTGTATAGTGTTAG